ATCCAGATTTGACCAAAATGCCAGCAGCTTCATCATTTCTCAACACTAAAGAATTTTAATTTAAAAAAAGTTGTTGCATTTATTTTTTCAATAAATACTACTTTAATTTCTTTATATTTTGCTTTTGAGGACCGAAAGTTTTTATTCTTTGAAGTTCATTTGATCAATATTTTTTTCAGGCTTTCTCAAGGTTCACTTATTTGTCTTTGCGCTTGAAGCCAGTTTTTTTGTGGACACGCAAACTTAGCAGATACTTTTTTTATAACAATCAGCTTCTCACAAAAACACACTTTGTTCTTATTTTATTATTCAAATCCATAAAAACTATTAAAGAGACACAGTTTGTCACACTTACAGTAGTAATTTCTTGTGTCAAAATGCTTCTCAGAGATTTCAGCTGAAAACTTGACGTACAGTAAATGAYTCGGACTCAGCTCGGTGGATTAACGGTTCACACTGTTGCCTCACAGCGAGAACGGCTCGAGCCGCAGGTTAGGCCTGGGGTCTTTCTCTGCAGAGTTTGCACGTTCTACTCGTGTTTGTATGAGGGGCTTTTCCAGTTACATTGGTTTCCCCCCACAGTCCAAAAACATGCATGATTAGGCTGCCTTCAGGCCTCCCTTGAAAAAGAGATCCGCAGCATAAAAAAGACCAAAATAGAAGCAGTACGCTGAAGCAGATTTCACAGACGGCAGTGTTTTTGAAGGAACTGAAGAGCTCCCGATGTTTTTCTGTGGGGGATTTTCTTTCTAACAAAGTCAAATATTTTGAAAAGTATAAGAGTTACAAAAACCAAATGTCATGGCGCGCTATTCCCTAATGAGCTGAATGTTTTGATTCTTAGCCCAAAGAATGAGGAAGAACGTGCAGCAGTGTGAATGCTGAGTCACCGTTAAAACCCCTTTGGAAAGGTTTAAAACTTTTGCACAAAGCTGGAATACATCTGAGTTTAATGATTTATTAATTTTAGGTGCAGTTAACTGATAAATGATATTTTAGGAGTTTCCTTGGTGTATTTTTATGAGGAAGCAGGACTCTGCAGCTTAAACCCACCTTTATACTCAGTGAGCCCCCCTCCCCCTGAGACAGGACTAAATTAGACCTGCCCCCCTCCACAGTCCAGCCTGAATCAGCACTTCTCTTCCTCCTGTCACATGTGCACCTGTCCTCTCCTCCTCCTCCTGCAGAACTTGAGGTGGAGCGGCTACGCGGGCGTGGCGGTGACCGCCATGAAGAAAGCCTTCACCCAGTGCAACCTCACCTCCTTCTCCTCGCAGGTCAGTGGCAGGAGAGGGTGGGGACTGGAGCCGGCTGCGTGCCGGAGAGCCAGCGGAGAGACGGAAGAAATCATTCTTATTCTCAAGGGGTGGCTCTGATTATTTTTTTCTTTTTTGAGCTCTGATAGAAATGATAGATGTTTAAGATATAGCTTTATTTTTGTCTCTGAAAATAATACACGAATTACGTCAAGTCTGTCTTTAATTATCTCCAGTTAATTACAASCACAGCTTTCGTGTGTTAGAACAGTGGTTCCCAAACTTTTTATCTTCTGACCCACAAAATATCCATGGCTTAAACTTGTGACCCCAAATATTACTGGTCTGAGTACATGAACTTCATTAATAACCCTAAAAACACAGGCTTTTTGACAATCTAAACAGTTTGTACACAAATATAAATACTTATTTATAGTTATTTTGTGTTTTTGTAATATTTATAGAGAAAATATTACATCAGCAATTATTTTATTACCCTTTAAATTGATTTCTGGAGATTATCCAAGGTGCTTCATGACCCATAATTGGGTCCCAAGCCCAACTTTGGGAACTAAAGTGCAGTGGTTCCCAAACTTTTCAGCTTTTGACCCACAAAATAACAGCAGAAACCTGTTCCCACAACTATGTTTGGATGATAAACATTTGTATCAGGTCAACWAAACATGGGCATAGTAACAATATTTTTATACTACATTTATCCATTTCAAATACACTAACCTCACTCCTTTGTAACAACTGAGGCAAAAATGTAATTAATTCAGAAAATCTTTTCAGGACCCCACCTTGATGTTTTGGGACCCCACTTTGGGTCCYGACCCCAACTTTGGGAAACACTGTTAGAACATTGATGCAACTTTGAAGGTTCATTTCAGGAATAAGTGTTCAAAACTTCTATAACTGAAAAAAAATGTTTTTTTTTCTGAAGTTCTTATGTTTCAAAGACTTTTTTTTCCCCCATTCAGATACGACAGTTCAGTCAGGACCACATGGTTGCAGAGATTTGTTCCATTTGCAGTGATTTATATTTGGCTGTATGTCCTCCATATGCAAACACAGAGAGCCTGGGGCAGGTAGAGCAGCAGAACCACCAGCCCCCCCCCCTCCGCTTCGCCCCCCCAGGGTACAGARCAGAGCGGACATCTACGACAACAGACCTGACGCTGATTAAGTCGGACACGTTATGAAAAGTGGGAGTTGTGGGGGTGGGGGTGGGCTGATTGCAGCAGCTTTAAGACAGAACTTTAGTTTGAGCTGTCGGCTGACTCCAGCCTGAATAGCTTCAATTATTCAGTCGACTTGTGTTTCTGCCAGCTTCTATGTCCGTATAGATTTTTTAAATGTCACAACAGACAGCAGCTTGTGTTTTGTGCCTGTGAAATGTTTTGTTTTTGAATTGCTGCTTCGTGAAATGAAAACAAACTATTAAACGGACAGTCTTGTCGTTAGAGTAGTGATGTTCTGTCGTAAAGTTATTTGTAGTAAATTATAAACCGTGACGTCTGTTATYGAGCAGAGACAGTGGAGGAAGAGGCAAAACTTGAACCCTCATTTGGCWAGCCCTGGGGTCTGCAACAWGGGGCCACATGTGGCTCCTTGGTGATTTTTATACTTAAAACTAAAAAAGCTAACTTTAGCAGTTTTCCGGTCGATTCGTTTGCAAATATGTGATCAATGCTACTAATACAAGGATGATTACATCATGCTAGTAGCCTCTTAAAGTAGCATCTTTCTCTCAAACTCATCTGAGCTAACTTTAAAAACCTTCRAGACTAGATGATAAGAATTAATCACAGCTGAAGCACATTTGGCGTCTCTGAACACATTTTATTAGTGATCCGAGGAGAGGAAATGGTTTTTAGTGTTAAAGTTTAGCCTTTAA